CACTTTTCCGTATTAAGTTTAAGGTTTTTACCTAAGGAAAAAACGTATATATTATACTGATTTTCCATAAAAGTTATGCATTATAAAACTTAATATTTTTATGGAATTTTTATATCAAATTTTTTATTGGGAGTGATCCAGATATGATATTGGTAAGCACAGGAAAAATCTGACAAAAGTACCTGTAGCTGAAAGTGATCCCTCTATTCAAATTTAACAGTAGTTCTGAGGTCTAGGGACCCTGAGAACTAGCTCTTAGGAATGTTGACCTAGGTGGCAATTTTCAGACCAGTATTACAGGGCGGATTCTGGCTAGAACTAATGTGTTTAGTCACGACTTAGAGGAAGCTTAGGATGAGTCAAGGGTTACACCTCAATAGTACCATCTATTTAACGTTTTCCTTATATCAGATATTGCAACTAGAAAAAAAAAAAAAAATTTTAATTTCTTTTATTTAAGATTTTGTATAATCTTTATATATATTTGAAGGTTATTATGTTTTTTTTATTTCAAATATTTTATTATAAACTTTTCTTTTTTTATAATTTCAGTAATATGTTTTTTCATATTTTATAATTTATTTATATCTTATATTATATTTGTGTCACTTATTATATGATTGTCCTATATAATAATATTTGTATTTTGTAATATATAAGTAATAGTTATTAGTTAGAAAGATAAATATCAATCATCCTAAAGGAGTAACATGATATTTTATTCACTCTAGTCAATAACTAGTTTATTGCATCAGTCATACAAGATCATACTTTAAATTAATATTGTTATAATAATAATATTTAAAAAGTATAAAACGTCTATATATTTACAATTATATTTAATATTTAGCTAGTAACAAAATATATCAATCCATCAAAATCAGCATGATCCTAATAGTTTGACCAATAATTTCAGTTAGTTTACCTATTATAATCCTCTATTTAATTAGTTATTTTCTAATTTTTAATATTTGTAATTTCTTTGATAAAATTTTTTTTATTAATAAAATCATGTGATATATTATTTTATGAGTTTTTGACTCTATAGCAGATACAACTCTTATTGACGTTATTGAATTCTAAATGGTATATATTTGTAAGATACAGGTTTTGATAATTACAACATGTAAATTGTTTTAAAAATTAAAATTATTATTAATCATACTAAATATTTATTAATCCAAAATTTTTAAATCCTGAAAATTTAAATTTAAAAGAAATAAAAAGTGATGATTTGATATTTTAAAGAGTTAACATTTTAAATATAAATATTTGATTTGATAACAAAAATTTTATAACACCTTGATATCTTTTGAATTCTAATCAACTAAACTAACTCTAATGTATTATTAAATGGTAATATTTAAAAATCAAAATTTTATGATTATAATAAATTTTTTTTTGTTTTTGATTTTCTGAAAAAAAATTTAAGGATTTCAAAAAAAAGACTTTGAATATCATTTTCATGTTTTATTCTAATTCATATATAGATTGACTATTTAAAATAAAAACCTTTATTACCATCTTGTGCAAATAATATTAATACTTTAATCATTTTGAGTTTTATTAATCCAACATCTGACAAAAGTCTTGATAAAATCCAAATTAAGATTTTTTAAAAATAAATCATGGTTTTCGTGATATAAACAATTCTGAAATTGTAAGATTTTTATGACTTTTAACAGAGGAATCTGAAATATAGATAGGAACAATCCGAAGACTTTTTTTTTTTGAAAAGATTATTTTTTTTGCAGATCTTGCGCAATATTTATAAGGACCAAAACTTTTTTCTTATTGGATGAGATACAAACGAATAGTCAGCTGATATTCGTCATAATATTTCATATTATAATATATTATAATAGACTTTGATTCATTTTTATATTGATTTATTTTATTTTATTGCTATAATCGCATATCATTGATCGTCATCCTAATATAATAGACAAACGAACAGGAATCCACTAAAATCATTCGTGTCGAGTAAATTTGATTCGAAGCTCGTAATTCCGTCATCATTTTAAACATTTTATTCTCATGTCACTTCACTACGTATTACATAAAATGGGACAAAATTATCAAAGTAATGCGCCAAATATGAGTGAAATTCTTGTACAATCAAGTATTATTATCAAGGGGCACGCTGTAAAGTTGATGAAGCAATTCGTGAAAGAGTATGACCTGATTGGCCGTGAGCAATTGTATTTGGTTCACAAAACAAATTTTAACTCATAAGATTATCCAGAGTTACGTAATAGTTACGTAATGTCGTACGGCTGTTGTGATGTTATTTATGTTCAAATAGGGATATTCCATTGCATTAAAAATAAAGTTTTTTTAATACAGTAACAAGTTTCTAACATTCATTATGAACTAGCCTAATGGAAATATAAACTACTTCCATAAATTCTCAGATCTCCGAAAATTTACAAAGAGGAGATTATTATTTAAAGCTCCTTATCGAATAAAAATTAGAGTAAAGCCACAATAACGGTTGCCCGGCAATGCACATTTAGAAACCTCCCGGTGGGCATTATAAAAGTGACATGTTGAATTAACGTTACGTTATCACACATGTATTTGAATAACAAGAACACTATTACGGATAATTAGATTAAACTTTATATAATATGCAAGCATCAGGTTTATCAAAACAATAAAAATACACACATGAATGGTTTCCCCGTTTTGCAAATGGTACTTGGTACTACTACATCAACGGGTTTTACCCGTGAGCTTCCATTTAAATGAAACATCATTTGATACGATTTATTAATTGCTGCAGGAGTATTTCATTGAAAAATCTAACTTTAAGGATTTTCCGTCCACATTAGTCGAAACGTTTGATTCCAGGGTTAGGATTTATTTAGGTACGCATCAATGAAATAACCGATCTACAAATTTAAAATATGGCATACAGGAAACTCCTAAAACGGTTTATTTCTTGAGAAAGGGTTGATGCTCCACAGATTTTTTTTTTGCGCGTTACAAAATTTCTTTTTGTTGGGTTGGGTTCATGTGTTTTTCAAATAACGTAAAATTCAAGTCGGATTACCAAAATTCTTTTAGTGTGTTTATTTAAGAAATTTTTTTTTTATTTTTACAATTAAGATAATTTATGAAACGTTGTGTTTTATTTTTGTATTTTTTTCGAAAGTAAAGCTTAAAGAATTTTATTTTTTAAAAAAAATTATACAGTACATATAATAAAAGAAAAACATAAAAAAAAAATAAAATGAAAAGCTCATGAGCGATTATTGAAAGGAGGCCTAACATCCATAAATGCTTAAATGAAAACGATCTATATTTTCTTTATTGTTTCCTTATAAATAAATATAACATATTTAAGCAAAAGAAGTAGATATTCCAAAGGATCCGACGTGCAAAATTGAATGTTCAGGATTGTTGTCATCAAAGTTGGTGGTCCCGTTAAAAAAATTTTGCTCAAAGGGATTGTTGGAAACTTGTGGTAAAGTGATTTTAGCGATTAAGTCAAGGGTACTCGGGTTATTAGAACGAACTCGAGAAACGCGATTTTGGTTCATATAATTCGCCTGATTTGTAAATCTGACTCTTTGAGAAATTGTTGATGTTAAATTCCAAATGTGATCGGTTGCTAATTTAATAAGGTATCTGTAATCGATGAGCTTCGCGTTTTACGCTTTGTCGCATTAACAGTTTTCCTGTTAATCTTTGAAATTCATTTCTTGATTGAGCTGCAAGTGCACAATCATTACGCGAAGGGGTAGATATGTTAGCATAATTGATTTGTCTTAAGAAAGTATTCAACTTTGATCGAATGGACACGTTGGTTATTTTTTTAAATCGTTGAGTGTACATTTTCGTTTTTTATTTGGAGAAAATCACTCGTAAAAATTTTTTTTGAACGTATTTATACCGTAATGAAGATATTAAAAGGATTTTAGTTTCTTTCTTTTATTTTGTTTTTTTATAATTTTATTATTTTTTTTTATGTTTTTTTTTTTTTGGAGAAAATTCCCCGATATTTTTTTTTGAGAGTATTTATACAGTAATGAAGATATTCTAGGACTTAAATGTTTAGGGCTAAGCGTATTCAGTGATAACGCGTAGATTGCAGTCACACATAAATAAAGAACATTTATCAGTGAAATCATTTTTTTAAATTATAACGTAGTGAAATGAAACACATTCAAAAATCGCGCATTTAAATTAAAATAAGAGATGAAGAGATGTTGTCAAAATTGAGTTCATTTACAATCAGTAATACCCCTTTGACAAATTTTGTTGCATAGAACCTCGGGTTCGGTGTCCGCCAATGATCTTTTTCATCTATGTTTACGGGGTTTAAAAATTTTGGTTGGCTCCAAACAAAACCCGCAAACAGCTGCAATGTTTATCGTGGATGAAAATCGCTCAAGGAAAAAGGAAAAATAAAAAATATTTAAAATTAGTCGCGCCAACCAATTTCCTCAATGCAAAAAAAAAAAAAAAAAAAAAAAAAAATCTCCCTTATACTGATGTTTCATGCATGTTGGAGTTCCAGATTTTTTTAAAAAAAAAAAATTAACTTTTCTTTAGATCTTTTTTTTTTTGATCATCGTACAAAGGACCAACCGTTAATAAATCTTATTAATTTTTTCCAAATAAAAGAAATTTAAATAAATAAATAATCAATAATCAACACATTTTTAGTCTCATTGGTGTATGCGCTGATCTATCTACTAAAAGTAATTTTTTCCAACTCAAAGCGGGGAAGGATAGTCGACACAGACTCAAAATGAGGTGTGATCAACTCTTTATTTCAAAATCTTCAATGATATATTTTCGTGTGAAATTTGTTATTTACGCGAGGATGCGGGCAAATCCGGAAACATTAGTAAAACGTCTGATGAATCGGACACTTTTCCGCCGAATCCTTTCTTATAACTATTACCATAATCATAACTCCGGTAGACCCTGAGACAAAACACGGATGCCGGAATTGTTTGGTTTCACTCGCTTCAATATTATGATCATCTATGGCACAGCAAAGGATTTATTACGGACTGCGGTAATATGAGATAATGATACATGGATTCAAATAGGTTTGTTTTAACTTACGTTCCTGATTTAAAAAATCGTCAAGTAAGAATTATTATTATCGATTTCTAAACATTAGCTTGCATACAATAGATTTAAGAATTTTTCAAGGACCTTCGAAAAAGGAATTATGTTTGGAATTCGTTTTGCAACGTTCCTAAATCTTGCATTTCGGCACGAATTCCGAACATTTATCTAAACGTCACTTTTTTATGACATATTCCGGAAGTACATTTTTTCACAAGGGTTTGAATTTAATGAAACGTTTTATAATTGATGTCATTGACACGTTATATACAAATTTAAAAGTGATCTTCATATAGAAAACGTCTTTTATTTTTTTTATTTTGTTTTGTCTCGAGATTTAAACAAAATCAACAAAAACATCTATCCAGATTCCCCAATCATGTGTTAATTTAATTTAAAAGTTTCATTAATAAAAACTCCACGACATTAAAATTAAAATCATACAAATTTGGTTCATTTTGACTGGATGTTTCTAATCATAACCTTATTTGGTAATTGAATCTCATTATTTGTATAAATGGTAACAATATCAAGGTTTCAATTTTTTATTGTCCGCTTTATTAGTCCCCCATAGAAGTCGAACGATATTGCGGCAATAAAATTTATTCTTATTTATTTATTTATTTTTTAAAAAAAGATCATTATGTAAACTATGATTAAAAAATTCTTGAAAAAATGATCGACATCCCAAAAAACCTAAATGGCCATTATAAAATAACAAAATCATTTACATAGCAAATGGTAATGTGATAAGTATGTGATGATTCAACGTCAGTGTAACAATTTATTGCGCCATGAAATTAACATTCAGGGTCATCAAAGGTTTTTTCTGTTAAGCGTTATGCCAAAAGTGGCATGGTACCACATTACACACATGTCACAGATTAATCAAATATAAATAGTCTAGAGTTTCTGATCAAATGGGAAATCTTTTTTCTTCTCTCTTCCTAAATTCCTTTCAGAATTTACGCTTTCAAAAATCAAAAAAAAAAAATGTCTTTTGTAACCTTTAAAAATCTTCAACCAATAGTAAAGTTGCCAGATGATTGTATTACTGATATATTTCAATTTATTGATGACAAATCAACCTTATATTCATGTTTATTTGCGAATCGATTTTTCTTCCATTTAGCGATGCCAAAATTATGGAATGATCCGTTCTCATTTACCATTCCAACGCAAAAGTTATCGTTGATAGTACGAACGTATATAAAATGCCTCCCTCAAGATCGTATTAAACATTTACTTGATAAGGGTATCGTCTTGAATGATTCCTCACCTTCTTCAATTGAATATCATAAATACCTTGTTGAATTCGAATATATAAGGATCATATATTCAATACATTGTTGGTGTGTTGAAAAAGATGAAACGAGATTATGCCAGGAAGTTCTTACGAATGAAATTTTTGAAAACCTATTTTTTAATCAAGTTAATAAAATGAGGAATTTGATCTTTCACATTAATTATCATACCATGTACCTGATTAATGATGAGAATATTCGATTTATTGACATCACTTCTTACAGAGGATCAAGCGATGTGTTATCACAAATTCAAGAATTTGATATCGAGTATCATTTTGAGGAGTTTGATTTTAATGAATTTCAAAATTTTGATGAATTGGAACATTTGATCTCCCTAACGAAAAATCTACTGAATACACTTATCCCACGTAATAAAACCATTAAGTGTCTCTGTTTGGATTATAAACCATTCGTTCCATCAGCGGAATCTAAAGAAATCATGAGAATACTTTCAAACATAATTGAACAACAACAAAATTTGAAGACACTGGACATATCGGATGCCACGGATTCATTTGGATACAAGAGATTTTATAATTCACTGGTTTCGCAATCTCATTGTTTAACCTTTTTGAGGTTGGAATTTCAAATTACGCTGGATAATTTCCTTCTCCTAATGTTTGAGTTGAAAAGTTTAGAAACGATAGAGTTACCAATCGTTCCATATGAGGAGCCTATCATTAATGGTAATCAGGCAAGGGAGAGTAGGGTTACATTTGAGTCCATCACGAGGAGTACCGTCATCAAGTTCAATCTCAAGAATATATTTTTCCTACCCAAGGATGGTTACCCGTATAATAAAGATGATAGTTATAAAGTGCTCCAGACCTTATTAGAATATTCAAATAAAACAGTGGAAACGCTGACCTTCTCATTATCAAACAACAAAGTTCCATCTATGCTTATAAATTGTCCAAATATAACACATTTATCCACCATCATTGACAATAACAATTTGATCTCTTGCTTAAAATTGATCGTTGACTTACCAAAATTACATCATTTAAAATTAAAATATTCCGATAATCTCACCCAACTCCCTTCTAAAAATCAAATATACTTTGATGAAATCATCATTTGGGACTTGATTTGTCAGATCCCCATCTCACTGAAGGTATTGGAATTTGATTTTATGATTTCAAGTAAAGAGTTGAGAATCTTCTTACTGGAAAAATGCAGGGCATCATTAAATGAAATCACCTTTCATAATAAAGATTTAATCACTGCTCAGCACTTTAAGGTCTTGACAGAGTATGCTAAACAAAAGAATTCACTGAAGAAATTTAGATATCATTATACATATTTAAATGACGATTTTTATTTTACCACTGAAAATGATGACATGGATGAAAGATTAAATGATTATTCTAGTTATTACGCATTAGAAGAATTGGAGAGATCCATCCCTAACGTTTCTGATCCTATAGATTTTATTACTCCTTTCTATGAATATTGATTGGCAATGCAATCTTTTTTTTTTTTTTTTTTTTTTGTTTTTTAATGGTAAAATAATAATAATAATAATAAATCAATAATAATTAATAAAATAAAAAAATAAATAAAATAAAATAAAAGAATAAAGATAAAATCAAACAAAAATAAATGAAAGCATTCGTGTTGTTTCGACAGCATTACGTAATTAGACATGCAATCTAACGGTTATATTTTTTTTTGGTTAGGTCAAATAAAAAATTATTTAGGATTCACTGATTTCAAGTTTCACATATTCTTTGTAATAAATGAAACAAATTTATAATGTCATGAGTTTTAAAATAGCAAAAGGAATTGTCCGTGTGCTGAGAAATAATGAGTTGTCTTACCTATTTCCGAAAAAAATAGCACTAACATTTTGTTTGAGGAAATTATAATGTTGTTTTTTGAGGTAGTTTATTAAATGAGAGAAAACTGGATCCGCTTGAATTCACGTGCCAATTAATCGAAATACTGCGGCAGGACGAATGATAATTAATGGTTCGGAATTGTCGGATTTCATTAGTCGCAACCGGTTAATATGGTAATATCGATAAAATATTTAAGATACAGACCCCCGCCAACAGTCTCCGGACATTTTTTAGCTCAATATAAAACTTGGAATTTTTAAATTTTATTAAAAAATATTTATTAATATATTTATTAAAATACGATATGCTACACATTTTGTAATAAATAATTAGTACTTGGTCGGACCTCAATTTGCTTCAATCACAGTCCGAATTCGCTGCGGCATACTATCAACCAAATTTTCGATATTTTGTATCGGAATTTGTTTCCATGCCCTTATAACATGTTGATCGAGTTGAGCAAGGTTGGAAGGCAATTTTTTCCTTTCACGGATGCTCTTCTTGACTTCGGCCCATAGATTCTCAATAGATAGTCGCGGCAATAGTTCAATAACGATCGCCGCGTTGACGGCAAAAATTATGCCACCGCGTTGTTCTATTGTTA